TTAAACATTTGTTCAGGTTATACATGGTTTTATACGATGCATATTGTGGAATTAGAAGGGCAAAATAAAAACATCAATTTTTGAAATTGCTTGGATTTCTTAAATTTTTTTAAAGATGTATTTATTTATTTGAAACAGAGTTACAGAGAGACAGAGAGAGACACAGAGAGAGAGAGAGGTCTTCCATCTACTGATTCACTCCCCAGATGGCCACAACAGCTGGACCTGTGCCAATCTGAAGCCAGGTCTCCCACGTGGGTCCAAGGATTTGAGCCATCTTCCACTGTTTTCCCGGGCCATTAGCAGAAAGCTGGACTGGAAGTGGAGCAGCTGGGACTTCAACTGGTGCCTATATGGGATGCCAGTACTGCAGACGGCAGCTTTGCCCACTATGCCACAGCGCTGGCCCCAGCTTTATTAATTTAAGAAAAAGAAAAAGGGGGGCCGGTGCGGTGGCGCAGTGGGTTAACGCCCTGGCTTGAAGCGCTGGCATCCCATATGAGCGCTAGTTCAAGACCCAGCTGCTCCACTTCCTGTCCAGCTCTCTGCTATGGCTCGGGAAAGCAGTGGAAGATGGCCCAAGTCCTTTGGCCCCTGCACCCACGTGGGAGACCTGGAAGAGGCTCCTGGCTTCGGATTGGCACTGCTCTGGCCATTGCAGCCATCTGGGGAGTGAACCATCAGATGGAAGACCTCTCTTCTCTCTCTCTCTCTGCCTCTCCTCTCTCTGTGTAACTCTGACTTTTAAATAAAACAAATAAATCTTAAAAAAAGAAAAAAAGGTTTCTGGGGCCAGTGTTGTGGCACAGTGGGTTAAGCTGCCACTTGCCATGTCAGCATCCTGTATTAGAGTGCTGATTCCAGTCCCGGCTGTCCCTCTTCTGATCCAGCTCTCTGCTTAATGAGCTTGGGGAAGCAGAGGGAGATGGCCCAAGTACTGTGGCCCCTGCCACCCACATGGGAGACCCAGACGAGGTCTTAGCCTCCTGGATTCAGCCTGGCCAGTCCCAGCAAATGGGGCTATTTAGGCATGAACCAGTGGATGAAAGATCTCTGGCTCTGGCTCTCCTTTCAAATAAATAAATCTAAATTTTTCAATAAGTTAGATGTTATTTACATGATATAGTATGATGCCACTGAGAAAGAGGTAGAATACTAAATGGATTGTTTAGAAAAAAGTTTACAATACATATTTCAAAAAAATATGCTGAGTGCAATATGCTATCCTATTTAATCCTGGAATAGAAAAACATTAGAGAACAACTGGGAAACCAAAATAAAATCTGTACTTCCTAATATCAAACAAATGGTGATTGCAATGGGTTAATACCCATACTATCATTATATAAGATGCTAACATTAGGGGAAATCTAATAGAAGAATATAAGAACTCTACTATTTTACACCTTTCCTTTTCCTTACTTTTTAAAAAAAAAATTGTTATTTTATTTGAAAGAAGGAGAGACAGAGACACAGACACAGAGAGATTATCCATCTGCTGGTTCACGACCCAAATGTCTGCAACAACTGGCCCACGCCCAGAGCCCAAAACTCAATTCAGGTCTCCCATCTGGGTGGCACAAACCTAAGTCCCTTAGACTTGAGCTATCACCTGTTACCTTCAAGTGTGAGTTTTAGCAGAAGCTGTATTGGAAGTGGAAAAACCAGGATTCAATATGGGATGTGGATATTCCAAGCCTCAACTTAACGGCTTAACCAAATGCCCATCCCTGACTTTTCCATGAATTTTTTTGTTGTTATTGAAAGACAGACACACACACATACACACACACACACACACAGCCTGCAACAGTCAGGGCTAGGCCAGGCAGAAGCCAGGAGCCTTGAGCTCAATCCAAGTCTTCCACATGGGTGACCAAGACACAATTACTGGAAACATCACCTGCTACCTCCCAAGGTACACATTAGAAGGAAGCCAGAATTTCAAGCAGACCCAGAATGCAAACCCAAGGATTCCTATACGTGATGTCAGTAACACCAACAGCAACTTAACTTGTTCCAAACACCTTTTTGAAATACCTTCAGGGCTGGCATTGTGGCATAACAGGTAAAGCTGCTGCCTATAGTGCTGACATCCCATATGGGTGCCGGTTCAAGTCTCGGCTGCTCCACTTCTGATCTAGCTCTCTACTATGGCCTGGGAAAGCTGTGGAAGATGGCCCAAGTCCTTGGGCTCCTGTATCCATGTGGGAGACCTGGAGGAAGCTCCTGGCTCCTGGCTTTGGGTCAGCTCAGCTCCGGCCATTGAGGCCATTTGAGGAGTAAACCAGCGGATGGAAGACCTCTCTCTCTCTCTTTCTCTCTCTCTGCCTCTCCTTCTCTCTCTGTGTAACTCTGACTTTCAAATAAATAAATCTTTTTTTAAAAAAAGAAATACCTTCATATATATTTCAGAATATGATTCCTTTTAGGTGATATAATTGACTTGCTATTTTGTGTGTCTACTTTTTTATACTATAATGTTCTTCTAACAATGATATTAATTCCAAGTAATTTCTGGGTATTTATGAAGCACTTTACACAGACCTTATTTTTTTCTGTACTTTTTAAAATTTTACAAAATTTCAAACATATACACAGGCTCAAAGAGTACTAAAGATCCCATGGGTGACTTTTTTAACAGTCATCAACTGTTAAACATGACCAATCTTGTTTCATCTGCCCACTTTGGTCCAGACTCACTTCCCTTAGACTACTTTGAAGTTAATCTTCTCATTTGTAGACATCATATCATTTCACCCAAAACATTTCAACATATATTTAATATTTTTGAAAATTTTTATTTATTTGAAAGGCAGGACATGAGAGAGAGAAAATCTTTTTTTATCTGCTGGTTTACTCCCTAAATGGTCTCAATACCCAGGGCTGGGCCACTCCAAAGCCACATGCCAGGAATTCCATCCTGCTCTTCCATGTGGGTGGCAGGGGCCCAACTTCGGCCATCATCTATTGTTTTCCCAGAAGCAGAATAGCTGGGACTTGAACTGGCACTCATATATGGGATGTTGGCATCACAGTGGTGGCTTAACCCACTGTGTCACAATGCTGGCTGCTCAACATATATTTCTAAAAGATAAAAAGTATTTAATGATAGCAATAATATGGCCAGCACCGTGGTTTACTAGGCTAATCCTCCACCTGCGGCACCAGCACCCTGGGTTCTAGTCCCGGTTGGGGCACCAGATTCTGTCCCGGTTACTCCTCTTCCAGTCCAGCTCTCTGCTGTGGCTCAGGAGGGCAATGGAAGATGGCCCAAGTGCTTGGGCCCTGCACCCGCATGGGAGACCAGGAGGAAGCACCTGGCTCCTGGCTTTGGATTGGTGCAGTGTGACGGCTGTAGCGGCCATTTGAGGAGTGAAACAACAGAAGGAAGACCTTTCTCCCTGTCTGTCTCTCTCTCACTGTCTAACTCTGCCTGTCAAAAAAATAATAATAATAATAATAGCAATAATATAACAATCAGCCTTAAAAATTAAACACAATTCCAGTATCCTCAAATAGCCCATCTGTGTTCAAGTTTTCTAGGATGTCTTGTGGATTTTTTTTTATTTAATTCAGGATCCAAACAAGATCTAAACATTATTTTTTCCTAGTACTCATGTGATTATAGGAGTAAATATGATCAATTATTTATATGTCTTATTGCAAATGCAGAAAACAAGATTCAAAATGGTTGTAAGTAACTTTCCCAGAGTTAATGAGCTAATAAATGGTAGAGCGGGACTGGCTCTGTGGTGTAGCAGGTGAGGCCACCTCCTGTAGCGCCAGCATCCCATATGGGCACCAGTTCAGATCCCGGGGGCTCCTCTTCCAATTCAGCTCTCTGCTGTGGCCTGGGAAAGCAGTACAAGATGGCCCAAGTCCTTGGGGCCCTGCACCCACATGAGAGACCTGGAAGAGGCTCCTGTCTTCGAATCCAGCTCCAGCCATTGCAGCCATCTGGGGTATGAACCAGCGGATGGAAGACCTCTCTTTCTTTCTCTCGTCTCTCTGTGTAACTATGAGTTTCAAGTAAAATAAATAAACCTTAAAAAAAAAAAAAAAAAAGAGTAGCAGGGACTGGAACTGACACTTCCATATGGGATTCAGGCCACAATGCCAGCCCCCTACTGCCATCATTTCATTCCAGATCACACTCTTTAAAACCTCTCTCTCATTCTGGGAATTTTCGCATTCCCATTCTCCTTATCCCTTTGGAAGCAGGTGATTTGTCTTTAAGTATTGATATATTCCTGCAAAAATATAAACTACTGGTTTTAAGTATGTATATCTGCTTAATTTACTGATATATTTCTTTTATCTACATGCAGCATGGGAATTCATTTGAATCTATTTCATGCTGGGTTTTGCTTTTTAGTTAGTGGTATTCACTTAAACACAGTATTGGCATTTACAATACCCCACAAGTGGTTCAATAATTCATCAATCACTGTATTTGGGGCCTACAATCTACCAGTATTGACCAATAACCAAATATTGAATTTCATATTAGTGACTTGCCTTTTAAAGGGTTAGCTAAGAATGCCACTTGTGCACAAGTTATTATTTCCTACAGATGCCAGTACACAAGATACGGCATTCACGTGAACACGGTGATTTTTCCACTAGACGATCTTTCGGTTCCCCAGTTGTACCTTTTTTAGGTGTCACTCTGGAAAATGCAAAGCTTACACAGAGAGACTAGGATAACCCATCTCCAGGTAACCACCACCCGGCGGCACCATCAATATTCCAATTTAAAAACCAAGTTGCAATTCCGACCTCTGGGTACCTGGCCGAAGGGACCTGGATGATTTTTCAAGCACTCCCTGGTAAAACCCGGGTGCATCTCCGGGCGGCTGCTTGCAGTGCGGGGTCTCCCCAAGTCCGCGTCCGGGGTAAGCAGGCCTCGGAGCAGCGAGGCCGGCCTCGGGTGGTGGGGGGCGCCCGGTCTGGAACCCCTCCTTTCTTCTTTCTCTTTGCAAGACATAAAAGCAAGTGATGGGATACATAGAAGAATAAATAAGCAATGCGCAAGAAGCCGAGCTGCGGACGGGCGCACCAAACCGCAGACCCCGCGCAGGGGCTCAGGCGGGAAGCCGCGCCCCCCGCCAAGCGCTCCGCCCACTTCCGGGGGGGGGTCGCCGTCCCGCCTCAGCGAGCCCCGCGGCCGCCGCCTCCTCGCCGGGAGCCCGCGGTGGGCGTCCAGCCGGGGGTCTTCAGCGCCGGGCCCAGGTAAGCGCGGGAGGCGCGGTCACGTGGGCGCGCGCGAGCCCCCTGCCCCGGGAAAGCCCGGGCCGGCACATGTGCAGCTGGGTGCGACCCCGGCCCCTCAGCGGGCGTCGAGCCCGCGCCGGAGAGACTTCTGGAAGCTTCCTCCTGGGAGGGAGGCGGCCGCGTGCGGGGCTGAGCGAGCCGAGGGGTCGTCGCTCGGTGCCCGCCGCTCGCAGGCCGGCGGGTCTGCCCTCGTGCAGCGCGGGCTCGCTTCCCGGGAGGCGCCATGGCCTCTGGAGAAAGCGGCTTCGCGTCGGACTGCGATCGGCGCTTCCGGGGTGCCGGGCCGTGTGCGGCTCTCGTTGGAGAAAAGGGTGCAGCCTCGCCTCGCGGGTCGGCCGGGCGTGAGGAACCAGGGCTTGAGCCAGGGGAGGCGTCTTACCACTAAAGCGGGGGGCCTCGGGTTTTGGCCAGAGGCGACGGGTGAGCGTGGGAGGGCGGGCGAGAGACTGACGGCGGAGGCAGGTCAGCCCCGGGTGCAGCGCCCGAGGCTGGAGCCACCGAGCACAGGTGCTACCCTCATGGGTAGCAACCCCTCCAGGCCTCCTGGGCATGGCAGTGCAGTCCCGACCAGTGGATCATTTTCTAAAACAGTCCTAATGCTGTGATCCGGGAGAAGAGATGAGAAAGGGCAGGGCGGGAAGGTGCCTGCTTTTTCACGCTGTGACATGTTTTGTGTGTCTTTCTATGTCAGTACTGTTGGCGCTCGCAACCTTTCTTTAGAATCTGCTTGATATTCTCCTGGGTGGAATGTCTGTAACGTAGCTCATTTGCTCACTGCTGACAATAGACATTGCCATGTGTTTTGAAGTTCAAACAAGTGTTGCAACCTCCTATATATTTAGGATCTGCAAAAAGTTAACGGGAAGCTCATTATGGGAAAACTATGCATGGACTTCAAACATTTTTACACCAAAGTAAACCTGACTTAATTCCATGTTCTGCAAACTTTTTGATGTGCACTTGCATGTCGTTAAATATTTGTTAAGATTATACATTAGAGGATGTCTATCATGGAATTAAAAGGGTATAATAATAACATCAATTTTTGAAGTTGCTTGACTTTCTTTTTCATTTATTTTAAATTTTTAAGGTAAAAAATTTCATGTATTTCATATATACAGATTTAGGAACATAGTGGCTCTTCTCACCTTACCCTCCCTTCACCCACATTTTACGATGATCTACTTTCAGTTTACTTTATATTCATAAGATTGACACTACACTAAGTAAGGAGGTCAACAAATAGTAAGAAAAAAAAAACTGTTCTTCAAGAATAGAGACAAGTGCTATAAATCATCAAATCTCAAAATGTCAATTTCATTCCTATATGTTACATTGTTTTGAGTTACCAAAGATCAGGAAAGACATGATATTTGCCTTTTTGGGACTAGCTTCTTTCGCTAAGTATAATGGTTTCCAGTTGCATCCATTTTGTTGTAAAAGAAATTCATTCTTTTTTATGGCTCAGTAGTATTCCATAGTGTATATATATATATCATAATTTCTTTATCCACTCATCAGTTGATGGACATCTGGGTTGATTCCGTTTCTTAACTATTGTGAATTGAGCTGCAGTAAATATGGGGGGTAACATAACTTTTTCAAATGCTGATTTCATTTCCTTTGGGTACATTCTCAGGAGTGGGATTGCTGGGTCATACAGTAGATCTATTTTCAGATTTCTGAAGTATCCCCATACTGTCTTCCACAATGGCTGTGCTAGTTTGCATTCCCACCAAAAGTGAGTTGGGGTGCCTTTTCGCTCACATCCTTGTTAGTGTGTGTGTGTTGATTTCTGTGTGAGAGCCATTCTAACTGGGATGAGGTAAAACCTAACTGTGGTTCTGATTTGCATTTCCCTGATGGCTACTGATCCTGGACATTTTTTCATATGTCTATTGGCCATTTGAATTTCCTCTTTTGAAAAAATGCCTTTTTAAACCATTTGCCCATTTCTTAACTAGGTTGTTTTGTTTAGCTTCTTGAGCTCTTTATAGATTCTGGTTATTAATCCTTTATCAATTGCATAGTTTACAAATATTTTCTCCCATTCTTTCGGCTGTTCATTTTGATGAGCGATTCCTCTGCAGTTCAGAAGCTTCTCAGCTTGATGTAATCCCACTTGTCTATTTTGGCTTTGATTGTGCTTCAGAGGTCTTTTCCAAGAACTCTTTGCCTTATGTCTTACAGAGTTTCCCGTAATTTTCTCTTGTAGTAATTTGATAGTATCAGGTCGTAGATTTAGATCTTTAATCCTTAATCCATCTTGAGTTGATTTTTGTATAAGGTGTAAGATAGGTGTTTTGTTTCATACTTCTGCACATGGAGACCCAGTCTTCCCAGTACCATTTGTTGAAGAGACTATCCTTTCTCCAGGGATGGATTTTAGCTCCATTGTTAAAGACTAGTTGTGGATGCATGGATTGATTTCTGGAGTTTCTCTGCTGTTCCACTGGTCTACATGTCTATTTTTTGTGCCAATACTAGGCTGTTTTGTAACTGCCATGTGGTATGCCTTGAAATTGGATATTATGATGCCTTTGGCTTTATTTTTGTAGTTTAGGATTTCTTTAACTATTTGGAGTCTCTTGTGTTTCCATATGAATTTTAGCATCATTTTTCCTAGATCTGAGAATACCCTTGGTATTTTGATTGGGATCACATTGAATCTATAAATTGCTTTTGGTAGTATGGAAATTTTTATTATATTCTTCCAATCCACAAACATGGAATATTACCTCCTTTTTTTGTGTCTTTCTATTTCTTTCTTTAGTGTTTTATAATTTTCATCATAGAGATCTTTCACCTTCTTGGTTAAATTTATTCCAAGATAATTAAAAATTTTTTATGGCTATTGTGAATGGGACTGATCTTAAAAGTTCTTTCTCAGCCATGGATTGTTTGTGTATACAAAGGCTATTGTTTTTTTTTTTTTTAAGATTTTTTATTTATTTGACAGGTAGAGTTACAGACAGTGAGAGGGAGAGACAGAAAGGTCTTCCTTCCATTGGTTCACCCCCCCCAAATGGCCGTTATGGTCAGAGCTACACCGATCTGAAGCCAGGAACCAGATGCTTCCTCCTGGTCTCCCATGCGGGTGCGGGGCCCAAGCACTTGGGCCATCCTCCACTGCCTTCCCAGGCCACAGCAGAGAGCTGGACTGGAGGAGGAGCAACCGCGACTAGAACCCAGGGCCCATATGGGATGCCGGCGCCGCAGGCGGAGGATTAGCCAAGTGAGCCACGGTGCCGGCCCCAAAGGTTTTTTTGTGTGTGTGTTAATTTTATATCCTTCCGCTTTACCAAACTCTTATGAGTTCTAATAGTCTTAGTGGAGTCTTTTGGTTCATATATATATAGATCATGTCATCTGCAAATAGGGATAATTTGACTTCCTTCTTCCCAATTTGTATCCCTTTGATCTCTTTTTTCTTACCTAATGGCTCTTGCTAAAACTTCCAGAACTATATTCAATGGCAGTGGTGAAAGTGGGCATCCTTGTTTGGTTCAAGATCTTAGTGGAAATGCTTCCAGCTTTCCCCCATTCAATATGGTGCTGGCTGTGGGTTTGTCGTATATTGCCTTGATTGTATTGAGGACTGTTCCTTCTATACCCAGTTTGCCTAAGGTTCTTTTTTTTTTTTTTTTATCATCAAAGGATGTTGTTTTTTTATCACATGCTTTCTCTGCATCTGTTGAAATAACCATATGGTTTTTCTTCTAAAGTTTGTTTATGTGATGTAGCACATTTATTAATTTGCATATGTTGAGCCATCCCTACATACCAGGAGTAAATTCCACTTGGTCCAGGGAAATGATCTTTCTGATGTGTTGTTGGATTTGATTTAAAAATAAAAAAATGGTTTCTGGGTCTGGTGTTGTGGCACAGTGGGTGAAGCCACTGCCTGTGATGCCAGCATCCTGTACTGGAGCATTGATTGCAGTACAGCTGCTCTTCTGATCCAGCTCCCTACTTAATGAGCATGTGAAAGCAGTGGAAGATGGCCCAAGTACTTTGACTCCTTCCATGCACGAGGGAGACCTGGATGCAGTTCCTGACTCATGGCTTGGCCTGGCCCAGCCCTGGCTATTGTAGTCATTTGAGGAATCAACTAATGGATAGAAGATCGATCTCTCTCCCTGTCACTCTGCCTTTCAAATAAATAAAATAAACCTTTAAGGGACAGAAAAAAAGGTTTTGACTTTGTATGTCTCAAATGTTGGGGTGTATACCTCCTAAAGCAAGATATTACTAGTGTTTTCAGTCTTACCCATACATAAAATTTAAAAGAGGCAATATAACCATTCAGTGTGCCATTCTCAGATCATTAACATTCCTTAACTGTTATGTTTATGCTCCTTTTTCTACATCAGTGTATTCAAGTTTTGTCTGTTTTACTTTCTTAATTTGATGTATTTTCTTTAGGCATTATGACATTCTTTTTTAAAAAAGATTTGCTTATTTGAAAGAGTTACAAAGAGAGAGAGAAGGATATACAGAGAGAGAGAGAGAGAGAGAGAGAGAGAGAGAGAGAGAGAAAGATCTTCCATCTTCCATTGGTTCACTCCTCAAATGGCTGCAACAGCCAAGACTGAGTCAGGCTGAAGCCAAGAGCTTCTTCCAGGTCCCCCATGTGGGTGCAGGGTCCCAGGCACTTGATCCATTCTCCACTGCTTTCCCAGGTATATAATCAGGAAGCTGGATTGAAAGTGGAGCAGCTGGGACTCAAACTAGTGCCTATACGTGATGCTAGTGCTGGATACTGGGGCTTAAACCCGCTGAGCCACAGCGTGGCCCCTAGGCATAATGACATTCTAATAGTAAATACTGAAAATATTTTCCGTGTTGTTTATAGTCAATTTGTATAAATGTTACATCCTCCTGGGTTTCATTTCACAGATAAGATAGATCCTGCTGTGGTACCTTGAGCTGGACAGAAGCAAAGATGAACGAGGTAAACCAAATCTGGCAGATAGGAATCTTGAGCCATCAGAAATACCTTTTTTAGTCCCCAGATTGATGGACTTTTTTATCTTATTCCAAGAGTTGGGCCTATAGCTTTCTCCAAATCATGGAGGCAGTTGACCAAGACTGTGTTCTCACTTGGGTGTGGTCTGTTGGTTGCAGACTTTCGTGCCATTCCTACAGCCCCCAAGAGAGAGAACTGGTAAGTGCATGGAGGGTAGGGATTGTGGAGTAGCTAGGACACAAAAACAAAAGCATGGGAATGAGAGATTGGGAACAAGGGATTATAATCTGGGTTTGACTAGAATATACAGTGGGTAGGAATCACTCAAAATAAACTCAAAGGTATTTGCTTTGTTTTGTTTTTAAAGAAATCTTCTCACTCACATCAACTTTGAGCTGCCAAAAGCTGGAAGAGTACATTTCCCACTGAGCTGTGATTGGCTGCAGGCCTGTGGGTGGAACTCCTTCTGCCAATTAGAATTCGAGGGTCTGAAGACTCAGAGGACTTCTAAGACTGACACTAAGACCTGAAGGACTGAAAGGAGACTGCAGTGAGATCATCAGTTATCTCCAGGAAGGTCAGTGAGGTCCAAGGGCACACTTGCCTCCCACTGGAGACACCTGTAGTGTCACGTCCTGAAGAAAGCTCAGCTCAGTCCCTAGCCTTACTCACAGATCAATGGCAGAGATAGCTACCCTGGCAGCACTGCAGGAAGCAGCCAAGTGCCCCATCTGTCTTGATTACCTGAGAAGCCCCATCACCACTGAGTGTGGACACAACTTCTGCTGCTCTTGCATCCAGCAGTCCTGGGCAGATCTACAGAACAGGTTCCCTTGCCCTGTCTGCCGTCACCAATGCAGAGAAGGGCGTGTCATGGACAATGCCCAGTTGGGAAGGATGATAGAAATTGCCAAGCATCTCCAGCCCCGGAGGAACAAGACGAAGAGTCAGGGAGAGTCGCCCAGGTGTGAGAAGCACAGCCAAATCCTGACCCTGTTCTGTGAGGAGGACCTGGAGGTGTTGTGTCACCGGTGCACTCAGCTCCCTGACCACCAGGGCCACCACGTGAGGCCCATCACGGAGGCTGCCGCTGATCACAGGGGCAGGATCCACAGTTACATTGAGCCCCTGAAGAGGCAAGTGGCAGACATTCAAAATTTAATAAGCATTCAAAGCAAAAAGCCCTTTGAGCTGAGAAAGAAAGTGGAAAACCAAAGAAAACAACTATCCTCTGAATTTGAGAACTTGAACCAGTTTTTAGAACGTGAGCAACAAGCGGTTCTCTGGAGGGTATCTGAAAGTGAGAGGGACAATCAACAGAAGCTCAGCACCAACATAGCAGAATTTTCAAACTATGGTTCAGCCCTCCAGCGTCTCTTAAACAAGGTTCAAGAGCACAGTGTGATGCCTGAAGTGGAGCTACTATCACAAGTCAAAAATTTCTATAAGAAGTCTGACAATGAGGTTAGTCCATCTATCTTTTCAGTCGATTTAAAGAGAGAAAGTTGTAACTTTCCTCCCCAGTATTCTGCTCTGCAGAAAATTATAAAGAAATTTAAAGTGGATGTAATTCTAGACCCTGAAACCGCACACACTAACCTGATTGTCTCTGAAGATAAAAAATCCGTGAGATATACAAAGAGAAAGCAAAAGGTTCCTGATCTTCCAAAAAGATTTGTAATCAATCCGGTTGTGCTGGGATTCCCGTATTTTCATTCTGGCAGGTATTTTTGGGAGGTCGAAGTGGGAGACAAGCCTGAATGGGCTGTTGGCATTTGTGCAGTCTCTCTCTCCACCAAGGGAAGGAGGGCCCCATCAGTGCCACAGGGATGCTGGAGGGTCCAGCTGAAGGGTGGTGGCTATGACGCACAAGGAGCTATTCCAAACCCCCGGGTGTTAGGAGAGAAGCCCAAGGGCATTGGCATTTACCTGGACTATGAGCTGGGTGAGATCTCATTCTATGTTATGCCGGAAAAGTCGCTCATGTGTACTTTCACTGACAATTTTACTGTGCCTCTCCGACCTTACTTCTATGTAGGACCTGACTCAAAACCCCTCAGAATCTGTACAAGAACAGACTCTGAATGAAAACCCCCCATGATAGCCTAAACATTCTAAATAGGTGAGTTCTGTTTTTTTTAATGGAAGATGCATAGATTATTGTGTTAATACAACTATGAAAATAACCCCTTGGATTTTTCCTTTTTTAATTTCACCACTTCCAAGAACAGTTTCGTTTATTTTGATTCCATGGTTATCTATAAAACAGTGCCAGTAAACGCCTGTCCCACAGGGGTAGTGTCAGGGCTTACCTGTCATTGCATGGATGTTGCTAGGTGTGAGGGTGGTGGTTTCAAGTTGGCAGTGAGTGTGGACATCATTAACAAGGAATGAACCAAAACAGAACTGGTCAACCTTGCCTTGTCTCTGTGAAGGTTGAATTGTGCTATTCCTGGCACATATGAGGGAACTTCTCAAGGTTTGTGGGAAATGGTATTAGAAGTTTATTTTGGTATAAAATGTTTTGAAATATGTGCACTACTATTTCATAATATGCATTTACCATGAGCTTTTTGAGAACCCTTTTGTCCAAAACTGTTTACCAGGCAGCAGGTGGTAACCTTAGTGATACCACCAGCGCAGCTGAAAGCAGTGTGGTGGGGGAACCTGGAGAGGCGCTGAGCACGTCTGCCTCTACGCTGTCAGTTACTGACCAGTTATGCTGTTCACTCTAGAAGCTGCCCTCTGGCAGCACTCACCACATCATCGTTTTTAGAAACCCTTTGATCTACATAACTTTCACTGCATCCTAGTTTTTTTGCCGTGGCACATAGTAGATTATGGCATGGTGACTTGTTAGGACGTTGTAGAGAACTAGAAGTTCCTATGAATATAGCTAACATTTATTGAGCCCTGTGACCTAGGAGTTGTAGCATATTCAAAACAGCTCCAAGGTGCAGGCAGGAGACTGTTAAAAAGGCAATTCAAAATTAGGAATATAGTCACAAAGTACCTTTGTTGAATTGACAGAGCTAGTAGTAAGAGACGTCAAGGGGTGCTTTCAAGACACTGATAGGCCAGTATGAGTAAATGGTTTATCAATACAATGCTGTCTATATAAACAGGAAGCAGTGAAGTAGTATTTCCCCTTCCAACTATACTAAAGGAGACAACCTTAGATATCTGCTTAAACCCTGGCATTCCACTAACCCAACCACAAAGATTGGGGCTTGGGTTTTGATCATTTCTGGCAGTGGTCTTAAACTCATTTGCAAAATGTAGATAATACTTACTTAGCAAGAAATTTAGGGATATGAAATTATTTACTAATGAGTGTGTGTGTGTGTGTATGCACTGAAGTTAATTTTCACATCTACTTGAAACAACGTTATACATTAGTCTTTTTCCTCACATTACTATTGTTGACCTATTCTGATGTCATTTCTACTTGTTTTTCTCCTCCAAATAAAAATCTTTGATTTTTGAAGAAAACAGATATGGTTAATAAGTGGATCTTTTTTTGGATTCTTTGATTTGAAAAACTGGAAGGGATAACTTCAGACTCAGTAAGCAAAATGTGAGCATGGCTTTGTGTTAGGTGATACTAGGAAACTCTCAGTTTTGTTGGATGTGGTAATGTTAGATTTTGGGAGTGCCGTTAGTCTTAGATATTCATAGCACTATATTTAAGTGTGAAATTGTATTAAGATTTTCAAGAACTCCAGACACAAAATGGGGATAAGTGAACCAAATGTGAGTAAATATTGGTAATGGTGGAATCTAGGTGTTTATGTCAGACAATTGTTACATGTACTACTTTTTTGTAACTTGGTTGAAATAAAAAGACCAAGCAAAATGTCTCCTTTTATTGGTGTGCTCTTAAGTGTTTCCGTGTGAACTCACTCTGCCATCTCTACCTGAAATGTGATTTGATTCGTGTACAGTTGGAGGAATATATTTAACCCTATACTGTCTACAGTTTGCTTGAAATTTTTTGAGTATTTCAGACTTCTTGAGTTTTTAAAAACAATTTCTTTGTTTAAAAGGCAGAGAGAGAGGGCGCGCAATAGAGATCTTCCGCACCCTGTTTTTGTGCTGGTTCTAGTCCTGGCTGCTCCACTTCCCACGTAGCTCCCTGCTAAAGCACCTGGGAAAGCAGCAGAGGATGGCCCAAGTGCTTGGGCCCCTGCACCCATATGGGAGACCAGGAAGAAGCTCCTGGCTTCTGGCGTCAGATTGACCAGCTCTGGCTGTTGCAACCATCTTGGGGAGTGAACCAGCAGGTGGAAGATCTCTCTCTCTCTCTTTCTCTCTATCTCTGTGTCCCCCCTCCCAACTCAAGCAAGTGCAAAGATGGATATGCTATTTATTGAAATGCGGGAGATGGTGGGAGGAGGGCAGATTAGGGATTTAATTTTGGAAATGTTAAATTGGAAATGTTTTTTTGATGTCCAAGTGCTGACCAGGCAATTGGACAAGCAGCAGTTCTGGAATTTAGGAGAAAGAGCCAGACTGGCAATTTAAATTGGAGGCTTACTTAAGGTAATGAAATTGAATAAAATAAAAATGAGAGTGTGGTATGTGAAGGCAGAGATGACAACAGGGCCAAGGACTAAGCTCTTAGTTTCTTCAGTCTTGAAACTTCAGAGAGGGTGGGTGGGCAGGTGTAACCCTTTGATGCCCCTTGGGAAGTCTGTACCTCATCTGAGAGTGCCTGTTTGAGTACTGGCTCTGCTGTGAAATCCAGCTTCCTGCTAACAAGCATCCTGGGAATTAGCACTGATGGCTTCAATAGCCGAGACCCTGCGACCCATGTGAGAGATCTGTATTGATTTCCTAGCTCCTGGTTTTGGCCTGGCCCAGTGACAGCTATTGTGGACACCTGGGGAGTAAACCAAGGGAGACAAACAATCTCTTTGTGTTTGTGTTTGTCTCTCTCTTCCCCTCCCTTTAAAACAAAATGAAAATAATTAATTTTTCAAAATTCAGAAAATTAGGGGGCAGGGAATGAAGGATCTCAACCAAAATGCAGTGAATCCTCTGCTTCCCACGGATTATAACCGAGAACTTAGACAAAACACAGAAAGACAGGGAGGCTGGAAAGGAAAGGCAAAACCTGAGGAGCAGCCTGTAGAGATGGCAGTGAGTTCCCTGGGTTTTGTCTCTGTTTGGACGTGTCAGCAGTGTGAATCACAAATGGCAAAAACATAGAGAAGCTATCTAGGGAGAGGACCTGGCCCCCAAGATCTGAAGTGTGGGCTGTTTTCTTTTTCCTTCCAATTCTTCCCCAAGATCAGCCCAAGTCCCAGTTGGAGAACTGAATTCCCAGGCACAGGCTGGGTGGAAGAACCCAGGAAAGAGACCCCTACTGGCAAAGAGGTGGGGAGGGAAACCATCCCCCTCCCCCCCATCATTTTCTCTCTTGCTGCTTTGCCATTAGGATAAGCCCAGCTGCTAAGTGGTGCACAAGCTGAAATGTTTAGGAAAACTCCCATCTTTCTGGCTAAAGTAGTTGGAAAGGGGAGAACTGTAGGTGATTCCATGATCTATGAATAGTTCCAAGCCTACTCCCAAGCTGTGCAAGAGGGAACACCCCCCGTGAAGTGCAGCAGATGCTTTGAGATGAGCAACAGAAGCCCCTACCTCAGCACAGGTAACCCAAGGGATTCATACAAGAAATAATAAGAAAGCAAACAACTCAAAGGTGGGTGTTAGGACAGAGAGATTGGACCAATGTTTGGGATGCTGGCTTCCATGTCAGAGTGCCTGGAATTGGGTCCTGACTCCAATCCCAATACAACTTACTGCTGGTGTGTAACCTGGGAGGCAGTGGATGGTGGTTCTAGAACTTGAGTTCCTGCCACATACATGGGAGACCTGGATTGAGTTCCTGGCTCCTGGGTTGGGACTGGCCCAGCCCTTGTTATTGAGAGCATTTAGGGGGTGAACAAGCAGATGGAGGATCTCTCTATTTCACGTTGCTTTCCAAATAAATTTTAAAAGTATACTTAAAAAACAAAAAAACAGGAGCCGGCGCTGTGGCACAGCAGGTAAAGCCGCAGCCTGCAGTGGCATCCCATATGGGTGCTGGTTGGAGTCCCAGCTGTTCCACTTCAGATCCAGCTCTCTGCTATGGCCTGGGAAAGCAGTGGAGGATGGCCCACGTCCTCAGGCCCCTGCACCTGCATGGGAGACCCAGCTCCTGACTCCTGGCTTCGGATCAGCTCAGCTGCAGCTGTTGCAGCCATTTGGGGAGTAAACCAGAGGATGGAAGACCTCCCTCTCTCCCTCTCTGCTTCTGCCCCTCTGTAACTCGGTCTTTCAAATAAAATAAATAAATCTTTGAAAAAAAAAAAGTCCATTGAAAATGGACAAAAGATCATAGCAGACCGTTCATCATAAAAGATATACATATGGTTAAAAAAAATTCCTGGAAAAATGCCCAACATCATACCCATTGTTGAATTGCAAATTAAAAGCAGTAAGAGGAGGCTGACATTGTGGTACACAGAGTAAACTGCTGCTTGCGGCACTAGCATCCCATATCAGTGCCAGTTCAAGCTGTGACTGCTCTGCTCCTGGTCCAGCTTCCTGCTAATGCTTCTGGGAAGGCAATGGAAGATGGCTCAAGTTCTTGGACCCCTGCCACCCATGTGGGAGACCTGGATGGAGTTCCAGGCTCCTGGGTTTGACCTGGTCCAGCTCTGGCCATTATGGTACTTTGGTGAGTGAGCCTGAAGATGGAAGATGTCTGTCTGTCTCTATGTGTGTGTGTGTGTCTAACTCTGCCTTTCAAATAAATCTTTTTCTAAAAATGCTGATGTAATTGGATTACTAAGAAATGACTCTGTTCATTCAAAACTAAAAATTTATCACTGTACTTTGTTTTCATAAGCCCATTTCCCCATCATGTTTGCATCCTACATAGGAGATTTGCCATAGACCTGAAACTAAACTTAATCAGCTAAAGTACATTAAACAGTACCCTTAATCCCAACTCTACTTAGCTATGTGGATCCATTTTTTTTTTAAAGATTTATGTATTTATTTATTTGAAAGTCAAGAGTTACACAGAGAGGGGAGAGGCAGAGAGAGAGAGAGGTCCTCCATCTGCTGGTTCATTCCCCAATTGGCTGCAATGGCTGGAGCTGCACAGATCTGAAGCTGGGAGCCAGGGGCTTCTTCCACATCTCACACGCAGGTGCAGGGGCCCAAGGACTTGGGCCATCTTCTACTGCTTTCCCAGGCCATAGCAGAGAGCTGGATCAGAAGAGGAGCAGCCAGGACTAGAACCGGCACTCATAGGGGATGCTGGCGCTTCAGGCCAGGGCGTTAACGCACTGCACCATAGCACTGGCCCCTCCATTTTTAAAAAATAAAACTATATAAAAATTGAAACAACAAAAATGATCTAATCAAATATTAATATAGCTAATTTTTTAACAGACTTATTTACTTGAAAGGCAGAGTTATAGACAGAGGGAAAGAAAGTGTGAAAGGTCTTCCATCTGCTGGTTCACTCTCCAGAGGGCTGCAACAGCTGGAGCTGAACTGATCTGAAGCCAGGAGCCAGAAGCTTCCTCCAGGTCTTCCACGTGGATGCAAAAGTCCAAGCACTTGGGCCATCCTCCACTGCTTTCCCAGGTCACAAGCGGAACGCTGGATCAGAAGAGGAGCAGCCGGGACACAAACCGATGCCCATATGGGATGGCAGTGCCACAGGTGGAAGCTTAGCCTACACTGGCACAGTGCAGGCCCCAAGATAGCTAATTTTTTTTTTTTTTTTTGGACAGGCAGAGTGGACAGTGAGAGAGACAGAAAAGTCTTCCTTTGCCATTGGTTCACCCTCCAATGGGTGCTGCAGCCGGCGCACCGTGCTGATCCAATGGCAGGAGCCAGGTGCTTCTTCCTGGTCTCCCATGGGGTGCAGGGCCCAAGCACTTGGGCCATCCTCCACTGCACTCCTGGGCCATAGCAGAGAGCTGGCCTGGAAGAGGGGCAACTGGGACTAGAACCCGGTGTGCCGGCACTGCAGGTGGAGGATTAGCCAAGTGAGCCGTGGCGCCAGCCATAATTTTTTGTTTTGTTTTTTTCATTTTTTATAGCTAATTTTTTTTAAAAAGTGATAATATCAGGTATTAGAAATAATACAGAGAAACTGAGCTCCTGTGTGTTTCTAGTAGAAAGGAAAAATGGTAGTTACTTGGGAACAACTTGGCAGTTTCAAGGTAAAGGTATACTTACCATACCACTCAGTAACCCCACCCCTAGGCATCCACTCAAATGACACAAAAACCTGTGTTCGTGCAAAAACCTTCATGCAAATGTTTGTAGTAGATCTATTCATACTAGCTGCAGACTGGGAGCAACTACAAAATTCCTCAACTGGGAAATGGACAAACTGTGGTGTACCCAAAGAATACATTCAGCAATAAAAAGGAACGAATGAATTACATTCACAACACGGATGAATGTCAAGTGCATTATATTAGGAAAAAGAAATCTAACTGGAAAGGCTATAAACTTATATATGATTTCATGTGTATGGTATTCTGGAAAAGACTAATAGGTATCAAGAAAGAATAGGTATCAAGATCAGTCTTTGCCAGTGGTTAAAGTCTGGAGGAGGGTTTGACTACAAAGGGAATATAAAACTTGGGAATTTAGGGGGAAAGAGGAATGAACCCATTCCCTGTCAACAGTTGTATTAGTTTACTGTTGCTACTTAACAAATTACCATAAATCAGTGGCTTCACCCAACCACTTTTTTTTTTTTTTTTTTTGACAGGCAGAGTGGACAGTGAGAGAGACAGAGAGAAAGGTCTTCCTTTGCCGTTGGTTCATCCTCCAATGGCCGCCGCGGTCAGCGCACCGCGCTGATCCAAAGCCAGGAGCCAGGTGCTTCTCCTGGTCTCCCATGGGGTGCAGGGCCCAAGCACTTGGGCCATCCTCCACTGCACTCCCGGGCCACAGCAGAGGGCTGGCCTGGAAGAGGGGCAACCGGGACAGAATCCGGCGCCCCGACCGGGACTAGAACCCGGTGTGCCGTTAGCCTAGTGAGCCGCGGTGCCGGCCCCAACCACTTCTTATCTAAAAATTCTGAGCTTGGGGCCAGTGCTGTGGCACAGTAGGTTAATCCT